TGCTGTGAGCTGTGATGACACCACTGCACTCTAGCCCAGGCGACAGAGTGAGAGACCCTGTCTCGAAACAAAACAAAAAAATTCCCAGGACAAATTTTAGGATAATTAAGCGTAAACATTTTTTTTCAAAGTGTGACTGTGGAAAGTTGGGTGTGCTTTGACTTCAGGAGCCAAAGAGCTGGATTTCCCAGCACTTAAACTCTTTCAAATGTTTTGGGCATGTCCCCACCTTGAAGGGAGGGAGCCCTCCTTCCACACAGGACTCGGAGCGCCAGATTCCTGCGTCCTCAGCCTTCCTTGCATCTGGTTTAATCTGACGCATCCGTCCCGACCTTTGTGTCAGGAGCTAGTGACACAGAGAGGCAAAGCTAGAGGCGAATTAACTGTGGCAGTAGTCGTGACAACAGCAGGGACGGCTGGCTTCCAGGGACGGCAGTGACAGCAGCACCAGTGACGTGGCCAGGTTTGCGTCCAGCGCCGCAGCAGCAGGGCCACCGCTGTGGCCACTCTGGGGCCGATCGGGCTGCAGTTGAGGCTGCTGCTTCCTTGTTCTCACCTACCGTCCAGGCAGCTCCTCCAGCTTCTAGGTGCTTCTGAGAATGAGCCACTGTCCGTCAGCACCGTCGTTCTCTGCTTCAAGTCATCAGGAGGTTTTTATTGCTTGTAACCAAGAATCCCAATGGTAAAGTGTTAACATTTGTTAATTATGGATAGTGGAAATGTGGGTGTTTATGGTTTTTTGTATTTTATGTCTTTTAATTTTCTCAAAAGCTGATCGTAGCAATCACATATGCGGGTGTACATGCAATGCACGTGCACGTGTGTGTGTGTGTGTGTGTGTCTGTATGCGCCATGCGCTGTCCTGCTGTTCCGGGCACTTTGCTTATACCGTTACAACTCATTTACTCCTCCTGACAGGCCTGCGAAGTAGGAGCCATTGTTCACGTCCTCCTTTGACATGCGAGGAAACTGAGGCACAAGAGGCGTAAGAGACCTGACCAGGATCGTGCCACTGCTAAAGAGCAGAGTCAGAAATCAAACCTCGGCGGTCTCTGTCCCCGGCCTTTGCTTTGAACAGAATAAGGGATATGAGAGATCGAGCAGCTTTACGGGGAGGCGGAACCCTGAGAGATTTGAGGGTGGGGCAATGGGCTTATTTAGGGGCTGAGGGGAAGGACGCAGTGGGGAGGGCTGGGAAGGTCCGAGGAAGCCGGGCTGTTGATAGATGGCTGCCCTCAAGGTCCCAGGGGCCAAGATTCGCTGTGCACAGGAGGAGGAACAGGATTCCTGGTTTGATACAAGAGAAAACGGGGCTTCTCTGGGACATGGAAGGCAAGGTCACCTGCAAGGAGGCTAAGGAGGTGGCAGGCAAGTGACCCGGTGGTCCTGTAGGTGGCTGGGTGCGGGGGGGGGGGTCCTACAGGGGAGAAGGAGGAGAAGAGAACTGTGGGCTGGTGGCCAGGGACAGCCCAGGTCCCAGGGGCGGCTCCCCTGCTGCTCAGGGGCCCCAGGCAATGATGCTGGAGCACAGGGTCCGGTGGTGCAGGGAGGGAAGCGTCACAGTAACTGGACAGGGGAAAGCAGGTCTGCGCCTGTCCCCACTGGACACAGACTGAATGGTCGCAGGCTCCTCCTCCTCCTGGTTCCCCTTCGAGAGGGTGTGTGTGTGTGTGTGTGTGTGTGTGAGGGAGGAGAGAGAGAGAGAGAGAGGGAGAGAGAGGAAGAGGGAGAGAGGGAGGGAGAGAGGGAGGGAGGGAGGGAGGGAGAGGAGAGCGTGAGCCCATGCGCTTGGTTGCTAAGCCTTGGCCCCTCCTGGGGTCAGGCTGGGGTTTTACCTGCCGACCCCTCTGGTCCAGGTCTCCAGGCTGCCCTCCTCATGAAGCCACGAAGAGGTGGCACGTGCATGAAGCCTCCTCTGGCTGTCAGAGCCGGGCAGCCCCGGGAGAACTGAGCTCTCTGCAGGGCTTGCCCAGCCGTCCCCGGGAAGCCCACGGGCCCTCCCACAGTCTCCCTCCGCTCAACAGGGTGTCTTCCAAACCCTCAAGCTTCAGCCTCTGACCGTGAAATGAAGTGACCATTCTGTACCTGCCATGCTGTTTCCGGGGGGACTTTTGTCAGCTGCCCAGAGTCACCAAGCCAGGACGGCTCTCTGCAGCCCTTGAATGGCCTGTCTTCTTCTGTGACCACAGGTAAGAAAGCTGCCCCCAGGCTTATGTCAGGGACATCGTGCATGTGGGGAGATTGTGGGTGTGGGGCCAAAGGGGTACTGGCAGCTTCTGGGTACTCAGAAGGGGGTGATGTCAGAATGCTGGAAGTTGCCTGCTCCTAGAAAAATTTTAGTCTCCTAAAATTTTAGTCCTGCGCTCTGGGCTGGTGTGGATAGCTTGGTCTCAGGAGTAGTGACTTTACTGTGTCTGCTCCTCTGTCTTTATTACTACGATTCCTTCTTTTGCTCCTTTCTTTATTCATTCAGTAAATATTCCATGTGCTTTATGAAAGGCTAACAGGCACCGATGGTTATTTACTGACTTGGGAGGGAGCAAGTGCTTCGTTGCTGGGTTGTTCCAAGCCTGGACTTTGTGGAGTGGGTCCCTGCCCCGGCTGCTGTAGTAGTTCGGATGACCTTTAAGATTCTACCCAACCTTGAGCTGTTAAGCTCCTGCCATTGATCAAGTTATTGAGCGGAGCAGACGTAGAAACTAGAAGCATGTTCTCTACCCTCTAAGCACCTCTGGTGAAATTATTTGGAAGAAGAAATAATATCATTTCCTCTAGTCGAGGGGTTTCTTTGGGGGTACAGTATTGGCAATTGTGACAGAGCTGGGACTCCCATGCCTGGTGGCGGGGCGGGGGCTGGACGGTTTCTGGATGGTAGAGAAGAACCGGGTGGGTCCTGAGAGAGGAGAACGTGACCTGGTGGGTGAGTAGTTGGAAAACCAGCTGCGGTGGGAAGATGAACAGGGAAGTGAGCCCAGATTACCTTGACTTCAGTGGAACCAGGATGCAGGTGGGTGGGAGGGGCTGCGGTGAGTGCGGGAGTGGGGGTAGGGAGGGGGTGGTCGGGGCAAGGGCTGCAGCGACAATACAAGCCCAGTGGGATGCTGATGTCTGAGCGCTTTACATATGCAATGTCTTTTGCACAAGCTTCTCTGTGCACCCCACCCACCCAGCCCCACTTTACAGATAGGGACGTCACCCACTGCCACCGCCTCCCCCAAACCTGCCAATCCAGCCACTCAGAGGGTCAGAGTCTGCAGCTTTTCTCTTTTGACACCTTCCTAACCAGAGGTGGAAGTTTCCTCTAATTGCTATCAATTACCCAGAACAATTCCTCCTCGGTTTCCTGTGACATATTAATGAAATTATCATGGCGGGCTAATCGCGAGGGATGCAGATTTGAGGCATCTTGCTGGAATAAGTCCTCTAGAGTCACTGCATCTCATTTGCACACGGGACAGCTCTCCTTGGATCTCTAAATGATGCAATTTCGGCATGCCTGGATTCCTGTTCTCGCTAGTGGGGAGAAATCTGTCTTTTTATTACACGCACTTGGTTGAAACAGATCACAGCCTTGGAATCTGCGGCCATGATATTGTTTGGAAGGATGAGTAAGTGCATCTGCACCTAGAAGAAGCTCCTAGAACCTTAGATCCAAGTGGGCCCAGCTTTGGGGGGGATGTCTGTCCCCTCATCCCCCGTCCCCCACAGACCTCAGTCCTGACAGTGGCTTCACAGGGACGGTCACGGTGCTCAGGTCTGCAGAACACAGGCAGGTACTGGCGGAGTTGCTTACACAAAACTGCCCTCCTGGTGACTACCTCATGATGATTTATCACATTATAGTTTAGAAGCTGAAGACCTTAGCTCGAATCCCAGCTTCATCACTTTTTAACTAGGCGGACTTGGGCAACTTGGTCAACTTCTTTGAACATCAGTTTTTTTTTATTTATATCAAAGCAATAATAATATCTCTTCCCTGCACCCTCCTGGGGGTGATGTGAGGTCCAAATGAGGCCAAGGTGCCTTGTAAACCTGAAAACTACACAAGTGCATGTTGTTCTTAGGAGTTAACATCAAAGGGGGTCCTGCAACCCCCTTTCCCTGCACTTCCCAGCCCTGTTTCCTAACATCTAAGGAAAACAACGGAATCTTCATGCCTGTGCCGTGGTACACCTCAGCCATTGAGTGCTGTAACGCTTCTTTATTTTAACAAGCAAGCTAAACTTCCGGGTGGTCGTGATTTACAGGTAAACGAGGAGGGGATGGGACACGTGGGGAATCCTAAGTCCTGCAGGGTAGGGGGGATGACAGAGAGAGAAGGAACCACACAGGCGGCTCCACGGAGGGCAGGAGTTTGAATGAGTGCAGGGAGCAGAGGAAAAACTTCTCCTGCTCTGCAGTTTGCCTTGGGTGTTGACAAAGTTTAGCTTCTGGTGGCAACACCACGATCTTTCAACCCAACTCGACTCAACTCAACAGATGCTTACTTAGAATCAGACTCAGGGAAGAACTTCCCGACATCGAGAATTGTAAAAAGCCTGGAAAGGATGCTCAGGGAACTTGGGGCCTCCGAGGATGGCTTTGAAACGAATGAGGCTAAACCAATAACGTCGTACCTCCCATCAGGGGTGGATGGGAGGATGAGACGCTAGAATTTTCCTTCCTTCTGATTCTTCTCTACCGTGTCCGCTCAGGACCTCGTTCACTCAGGTCTCTGTCCCTGGCGCCTGGCACATAATTGGCTGCGATAAAGGATGAGGTGTGGAAAGATAAATGAACAAAGGCAAGAGTGAACAGTTGGACCATGGGTACAAATGTCTGACACGGTGTCGCTCCCTAAATTCAGAGGCCAGCTGTGGTCTCCTTCCACGGACTCTCTCGGAGCTTCCTCCTCCCCTGGGCTCTTCTCAGCACAGCAGGTGGTCAGAGACAACCCACAGCACGGCCCCAAGCTGCCGCCTTCTGATGTCCAGGGGCAGTCGGACCCGTCCTCTGAAGCCATGGGCCCCTCCCGTCCTGCGCTCCTGTCCTTGAGGAGGCTCTGCCTGTGCTGGCTCCTGCTGACTCCGACAGGTGAGTGGGTGTCACCAGTGAGACCTCATGTCACACCTGTAAACTCGCAAGCTGTCTGGAGGACTCTCCTGTAGGTGGACTCTTTGCAACCAACCGTCAAAGCTGCAGGGGACATTAGCGGCCGTCAGCCGCGTGGCTCGTTCCACTGGGAGAAGGTGGGTGAGGGGGTGGGAGTGGTCACAGCTCTGACATTAGCAGCTGTGTCACCTTGAACGTCCCCGAGTGTCGATGTTCCTCAGCTGCAAAACACAAATAGTATTGTGGACCTCCCAGGGCTATTGTGAGGACGGAGCGCAAGTTTGACTAGCATCGCGGACGCAGCAGGCACCAGGGCACATGCAAGGCGGCTATTGTCACTGCTGTGCTTTTGGTCCCAGATGGTGCTGACACATTTTTCTGGATTTTGGAGCCATAGTTCCCGACCTGCTCAGGCAGCAGAGCCCTGAAGTGGTGAAGCTCTTTGCAGATCACAGAGAAAGCCAATGAGAGAGATATCAATTTCCCAACGCTTTGCCAACCTGATCAAAGGTGGCAAATGCCAGCGGTTTAAGAAAAATCGAGGAGATGCCCAAAGTGGCAGAGGGTTTCGCTGTTAGCGGTAATGGCCCGTCTGACAGGTGGCGGGAAACAGACGCCACTCACCCCGGCCGGGCTCACTGCGATGCCCAAGGAACCCTTCTCCCTGCAGCTCCCCACATTCAGACCAGGCGTCTCCCCCACATCGCAGCCATCCTCGGGGTCCGAGTGTCCCCACTTCCCTGTGTCTCACCCCTCTGCAGCACCTGTTCCCACTCTTTCTTAGCTACTGTCCCCAAGCAGCTGACCTTTCTTGATCTCTGTGCGGTGCGCTCTGAACTGTGTTAAGCCCTGATAGACATTTTCTATTTAATCCTTAACAGCGTTCTGCGATAGGGTCTGGATTCGCATCCCCATTTTACAGATGAGCAAACTGAGGCCCCGTGAGGCTGAGTGGCTCTGATTTCACGGCAGGTGGAGAGGAAACCCAGCGCCCACATCCCCCAGCGCCCGGAGACACCCCCTCCTCTCCGGGTCCCCTGGTGCCAACACAGCGAGGCTCCCGCACCCACGCCGAGGACCACCTCTTCAAGCACCTCTTTGGGGGCTACAACCGCTGGGCACGCCCGGTGCCCAACACCTTGGACGTGGTGATCGTGCGCTTTGGGTTGTCCATCGCCCAGCTCATCGATGTGGTGCGCCTGTCCTCCCAGCCCTCGTCCCGGAGTCAGCCCCGAGACACACGCCTCTCCGCCCCCCACTATTTCTTGAGGCTGCTCCCTGGGCCCCAGCCCCGCCCTCCCCTAGACTTTGGGGGTGGGGCCAGCTCCATCCCCATCCCCCAGCCCTGGGGAGCCCCTCCTGGCAGGGCGCCGATTGGGAACAGTGCCTGTGTGACCCTGGGGACTCTGAGTAAGGGTGGCAGTGTCGGGAGGGGTGGCGGGGGGGCTGTCCTTTGGATGCCGTATTAGAGGGTCTTCCCGCGAGTGGGGGCCTGAAACAGCCTCTGCCACTCCTCCCTGTTTTCTGGGGCCGGGTCCACCCCTCTAACTGTTCTTGCTCTCTCTGCTCCCCGCCAGGACGAGAAGAACCAGATGATGACCACCAACGTCTGGCTAAAGCAGGTGAGACCCCTCCAGGGCCAGGGGCGGGAATCCAGGCAGCACCTGTCACTAACCAGGGGCCAGGGAACAGCAAGACCCGAATTCACAGCGGACCGTCCGGTTGCCCCTCGGGATGCTCCCAAAGCCAGCCCGCCGTGGCCCCTGAGAACGTCAGGGAGGTTCTTCCTGGCTGGAGGGTGTGAAAAACCGCACCAACAATGGTGGCTTCACTACAGATGAGTGCAGTGGCCACCGGGTCGTCCAGCCAGGGAGAGGCAGGACTCGGGTGTCCAGTCCACTCCGTGTGCCGGGGACCTTGGCCACTAAAGTCAGGGCAAAGCGAGAAGGTTGGTTACTAGGTCCGAGCCTTTCCTGGCATGGCAGCCCCTTCTGACCCGCAGGGCCGGTGGGGACCTCTCTGGGTGCTCTGAAGCAGTGGCCCTGCCCAGCCAGGTTCGGGGCGCCCCACTGCCCAAGGCTTGCCCGGGCCCCTCCCGGGTGGCACCGGTGACTGACTCCCCCCACGCGCAGGAGTGGAGCGACTACAAGCTGCGCTGGAACCCGGCCGATTTCGGCAACATCACCTCCCTCCGGGTGCCTTCAGAGATGATCTGGACGCCCGACATTGTCCTCTACAACAAGTAGGAAGCGCTGTGGTGCCGGGAACCCTGGGAGAACCCTGGGAGGCCCCCGGGAGGGGCGGGTACATGGGCCGGGGTGTCTCCCTCCCCGCTGCTTTGCTGGGTGTCTGCGCCCACCTTCCCCTATTCCTTTGGTTTTGTTCCCTCGCTCACACCCCGATACGTACTGAGTGCCCACTATGTACCGGCGCCTGGCGCCGTGCGAGTGGGACAAAGGTTTGCCAATCCCGAGTATTCCTTGAAAAATGTGGTGCCGGCTCAGAAAACAATGCCTCGGGGCTGGAGTGTTGAAGGATGGCGCCTCGTTGGAACGGGTAAGCCTCATCCTGGGATAACACCCTTAAAGGGGACAAACTCACTTTTTAAAAAAAATCTTATTATTTTATAGTTGTCTTCAAGACCAAAAGGACCATAATGACTAGAAGCTAATACAAGGCAGGGGCATCTAAAGAAAGCCTCAGTGGACAAATATTAAATTAAATTAAATTTAAAAAATAAATAAATAACATTTTTTAAATTTGTGAGATAGGATCTTGCTCTGTTGCCCAGGCTAGAGTACAGTGGTATCATCATAGCTCACTGCAGTCTCCAACTCCTGGGCTCAAGCCATCCTCCTGTCTCAGCCTCCCGAGTAGCTGGGACTACAGGGGCATGCCACCGCACCTAGCTAATTTTTTTTTTTTAAATTTTAGAGATGGGATCTGGCTATGTTGCCCAGGCTGGTCTCAAACTCCTGGGGTCAAGCGATCCTCCCACCTTGGCCTCGCAAAGTGCTAGAATTACAGGTGTGAGCCACCAAGCCTGGCCCAAATCACATTTTTTGATAGGCTAAACAGAAACCTATAATTTCATTTGCATGTTTGATATCAGATAATTCTTCCTTTAAAAGTCAAGCAGTTCAAATTAAAACGTGTTTGGTGTCATGTTTGTCTAAAAATGTCTTCCAAAGATGCTAAGGAGCACTACTTCCTTGAGATATGAGTCGGTATGAAAAAGGGTTCTGTGGTCAAATAGTTTTGGACAACATTGTATGTCGTTATTCCCACCCCAGTCCTTTGGAAAACGGCAGAGCACAATAGCATTTTAAATGTTGTTAGGAGTTCTGCAGCTAAAAACCCCATCCAGCCCAGCATTCCCCAATTCCTTTGACCCTACTTGGAAAATGCTATTTTTAAACAATGAAATAAAGAGGAAAGAGTCCCACTTCTGGGTTGGCATCCCCAGATAGGACAGGTGGCTCCTAACACTGTCCAGTTCTGCCAGGCCTAAGCCATCTTGGCGAGCACACGTTCCCCACGGGGTTACCTGGCAGGTCTCCCACCTCAGGTGTCCAGTGTTTGCGGCTGCCGCGGGGCTCACGGACCCCCCCACCCTGTGATGTCTCTGTGCCCCGGAGGCCCTTCTAGTTTCTGCTTCCTGTGCCTCTGGCAGAGGCCAGGAGCAAAGTCCCACAGCAGGTAGGACTTGCAGTTGTAGGATTGCCAATAAGGCTTCAACCGGTGTTACCTGATTATTATGAGAAACTCTTTCGACAGTTCAAAAGTTGGAACCACGAAACCAGCCTGAGCAAGAGCGAGACCCCGTCTCTACTAAAAATGGAAATAAATTAATCGGACAACTAAAAATATATAGAAAAAATTAGCCGGGCATGGTGGCGCATGCCTGTAGTCCCAGCTACTCGGGAGGCTGAGGCAGGAGGATCGCTCGAGCCCAGGAGTTTGAGGTTGCTGTGAGCTAGGCTGACGCCACGGCACTCACTCTAGCCCGGGCAACACAGTGAGACTCTGTCTCAAAAAAAAAAAAAAGTCGGAACCAAACTCTGGACATTTAAAGCAGGATCCCCTCAGTGTAGACACCCAGGCCAGGTTAGCAGGTGGGCTCACGCTGCCATCTAGTGGTGACTGTGTGTGATGACCAAAGTGCCCCCCCGCCCCCCGCCCCGCTTTTAATTTAAATTCTTGCACCGAAGCGAAGTGTTTGTTACTCTCTTTCAAAGTAGCTGTTTCCAGCCGGCCTATATCTCTACCCTGGAACTCCTCCATGGGAAAAAAGTCTCTCTTCCATGTATTCTTTGGATTCCCCGGGGCTTAGGGTTCACTGACGGGCCACCACTGTTCCAGCGTCCCCAGAGTCCTTGTGGGTCTTTGGATGCCTGGTGCCACAGTGTCCCAGACTCATCTCCCACTGCCCCCATACTCTGTCCTCCCTCCCCTGGGTGCACCCTGTGAGTTTTGCCCTTCCCACCTGTTCCTTGCTCCCTTGGGGACCCTGAGCTGGTTCACTCTCCACCCGTCTGTCTGCCAAATCCTACCGTGGGTCAGGGCGCTGTGCAAACGGCAGCCCTCACCGTGACCCCCTCACCCAGCCAGGTCTGGGGCGCCCGCTGCCCACACTCCCCGTGCTGCTGCCGAGCTGCCTCCTGACGCTGTAGTGGGTCCTGCTGTGTCTCATCTCCTCCTGGCCCCTTAAGGGCAGGGACCTTGTCTCATTCCTCTTCTTGCTCTGGTAGAGGCCCTGGTGGGCGAGGCTGGCTCCCAAATGCATGTTACGTGGGTGGATTCGAGACGTGTCTTCACCAGCAAAGACCTTAGGTCTCTTCTGAGCAGGAGTGAAAGGTCCCAGGTGCAAAGGACACGAACCCCTTCCTGAGGGGCGACTCGCCATCTGCTACGGAAAAGAACACATAGTCACAAATAATCACTCTAAAATATTAAGTGAATAAAAACAGGCAAACTCCATATACCCCATGGTCACAAATATGCATGTGTGTGACCATCACATAGATCATACGTGTAATAGTTTCGCATGCTATATACATCAAAATGTGAATAGTGGTTATTTTAAACATTCTCAGCGCTTTATTCTAGACAATTCCCACTTTTGTAATTAAAAAGATGGTCGTGGGAAAGGCTGCTCAGGTGTGCTGGGAGAGGCTCACGCGTGCGCCTGAACCCCGACGGCCCGGCCAGGTCCGCCCTCGTCTGTGGGGTTCGCCTGCTGCCGGCCGTGAGCAGCCCGGCCTGGGCAGGGGGCGTGCAGGGCACCCAGGTCCTCTCCTCTCCCAGTGCAGACGGGGAGTTTGCGGTGACCCACATGACCAAGGCCCACCTCTTCTCCACGGGCGCCGTGCACTGGGTGCCCCCGGCCATCTACAAGAGCTCCTGCAGCATCGACGTCACCTTCTTCCCCTTCGACCAGCAGAGCTGCAAGATGAAGTTCGGCTCCTGGACCTACGACAAGGCCAAGATCGACCTGGAGCAGATGGAGCAGTCGGTGGACCTGAAGGACTACTGGGAGAGCGGGGAGTGGGCCATCGTGAACGCCACGGGCACCTACAACTCCAAGAAGTACGACTGCTGCGCCGAGATCTACCCCGATGTCACCTACACCTTCGTCATCCGGCGGCTGCCGCTCTTCTACACCGTGAACCTCATCCTCCCCTGCCTGCTCCTCTCCTGCCTCACCGTGCTGGTCTTCTACCTGCCGTCCGACTGCGGCGAGAAGATCACGCTGTGCATCTCCGTGCTGCTCTCGCTCACCGTCTTCCTGCTGCTCATCACCGAGATCATCCCGTCCACCTCGCTGGTCATCCCGCTCATCGGCGAGTACCTGCTCTTCACCATGATCTTCGTCACCCTGTCCATCGTCATCGCCGTCTTCGTGCTCAATGTGCACCACCGCTCGCCGCGCACGCACGCCATGCCCCGCTGGGTGCGGGGGGCCCTGCTGGGCCGCGTGCCCCGCTGGCTCCTGATGCATCGGCCCCCGCCGCCCTTGGAGCTCCGCGCCCCCCCGGGCCTGCAGCTCGGCCCCTCGTACCACTGGCTGGAGACCAGCGTGGACGGCGAGGACAGGGAGGCGCTGGCGGCGGAGGAGGGCAGATGGGCGCGCGCTGGTTACTCTGCACCCCCCACCGGCGCCCTCCACAGCCAGGGCGGCCTGCGCCCGGGGGCCTCGGGTCCCAAGGCTGAGGGGCCCTTGCAGGAGAGCGAGATCCTGCTGTCACCTCGCGTGCAGAAGGCACTGGAAGGTGTGCACTATATCGCTGACCACCTGCGGTCTGAGGATGCCGACTCTTCGGTGCGTGGGGGCTGGGGTAGGGGCGAGCCTGGCAGGGGACCTCCTCTCCCCAGGTGTGAGCTCAGGCCAGCCCTCCCCTGAGGACCCCTCGTGGCCCTTAGGAGCCTAGAACATACTGGTGAGAGAATGTCTAGCTGGCAGCTCTTGGGACATTTATTGCCTGCCACAGGGGCCAAGCACGCCCAGCTTGGCCTAACTGGGAGCACACGAGCTAGAGAGGGAGGACTGCACAGGCTGACCCTGTGCCTCCCACAGGCCGCCAGCTCTCACCAGTGCCCTGGAGGTCGGGGTACTATTTTAGGAGAGGCCCAGCAAATGAGCCCAGCCTTCCTCCTTCATCCTGCATGGTCTCCTCCTCCTCCCCCTCGTTCACAGGCTCTGGGCATTTTGCAGACTTCACTGTTCACCCACAAACCCTGTAGACTCTCAGTTGTACCGGGGGTGGGGGGGGAGCTCCAGCATGATTAGGCGAGCAGGCCACTGCCCCATCACAAAGTTCTTCTTATCAGCCCAGGGAAGGATAAGAGGCCAGGAGGTTGTTGCCAGGTGGCCTTGTTGAGTAGATAAGAAAATTAACCATTATCTAATCCAGGAGCAGTGTGGAGTCCAGACTCCCCTGCCTGGGCTGTGAGCCCAAGGTCCACAAAGCCCCCTGCCCTTCCCCCAACCCACCCTGGGTCACACCCACCTTCACCTGCCCCCTCCTCTCCAGGTCCTGCAGGTGGGTGGGGTGGCAACGTGGGGGACAGCAAAGCCTCTAGCATTTTGTAACTGTTGCATTTTAACTGACGTTGCACTGAAATCCCCAGCTGGTTCTGCCACCTCCTGTGTCCTCTGGTGTCCCTTTACCTGCAACCTGAGAGCACGTGGGGAGGCTCTGGGCTGTGTGGAGGGGCTGGGATGGGACAGGAATCACCAGGGAGTTCTCTGAGCCTGGAGGCCACCCTGTCTCTCCCCTGCACCCCTGCTGCCTGCACCGACCTTCATTGCCCAGGTCCCCTGTGGTCGTCCTTGCAGGGGCTTTGCACAGGGGGACACTGACCCTCCCCGAGGCGCAGGCCTGTCACTGAGAGCCGGTTTCCGCCTGCAGGTGAAGGAGGACTGGAAGTGCGTGGCCATGGTCATCGACAGGATTTTCCTCTGGCTGTTCATCGTCGTCTGCTTCCTGGGCACCATCGGCCTCTTCCTCCCTCCGTTCCTGGCGGGAATGATCTGATCCTCCCTCCCCTCCATTGCTTCCAGGTGGCCCCGCTGGCCACCTTTTAAGTACCCTTAACTGCAGCTGCCTCTAGAGTAGCGTCCAGGGTGGATGCCGTTTGCCTGCTGGTGCCTCTGCGTGGAGTCCAAGCACTGCCCGGTCGCCGGGGACTTCTCGGAACACCCCACCTGACGTCACTATACCGAGTGCTGAGACGCTGCTGGGTGCAGGGCCCTCTTCTGGGTGCTGGGGAGCTGGGAGGGGGAGGGGTTTGCAGAAGGTTAGGATAGGGTGACAACAACGCCGGGTAGAACCAGATAGTTCTGGAAGAGCAGCACAGCCCCTACACTGCAGGGCCAGGCAGGAGTGCTGAGGGCCAGGGCTGGGCTGGAGAGGAAGGGGACTCGGACCTCACAGGAGGGCCTTGTGGGGAAGCAGGGAGGGTGCCTGGGGTGGAAGGGCTCTGAACGGCATTTTGGGTTCAGGAATGAGCCCCAGTGCCTGGGACAGCAGCTGGGGGGCGGGGCTCTGTTGCGGGGAGCAGCGGGAGGAGGCTGGAGAGGCGGGTTGGGGTCTCTCTAAGCCAGGCTTAGCGTGAAATTCAGAGTCTGTCTGAGCCTGCAGGGCTCTGAGCTGTCAGGAGCAGCAGGAGAATGACAGGCTCTTCCAGAAAGGCAGGGCCCGCATGTAGGTGGAGACACAGGCCAGGTGCTTTTGGAGGAGGAATGGATGGATGGGTGCGGGTCGCTGGGCCATTCCGCCCACCTGGAAGCGCCTGTGGCTCCCCCGACCCCCCCAACCAGCTTCTCCTGATATCTGCCCTCCCTTTCCTTGCTGCAGAAGGGCTGAGCACTGGCTGGAGCCCCAGGAGGTCTGGGGGAGCTGAGTGCCACTGCCTGCAGATCCCCTGGTCCCCGTCCCTGCCCCATCAGCACGCCTCACGTGGGAGTTTAAGATCTTTGCTTCGGTTCCTTTGAGTCTGAACTGCTCAAGGGCAGGTCCCCTGCCTTGTGTTTGTCCTGGTGTCCAGCACGCGGCACAGCGCCGGGCCAGCGGCGTCCAGCACCCAGGACATTTGTTCTGCGTGGTTGAGGGCAGTGAGCTGGGTCACTTTGGACCCTGCGACCACTGTGTAGATGGCAAAGCTGCAGGACTGCGCCCTTCCCAGCCTGTCCCCCCATTCTGTCCTTCCCAGAGGCCCGAGATGTGTCCAACCTGCTCTGAACCCTTTGGGGCAGCCTGTTCTTGCACCTTGGACTGAACACTCCAGGGCCCACGGCTGCTTGCGGAGCCCAGGCCCAGCTGCTGCTCCTGGGGATCGGGGAATGGGAGTGGCCTGGGGCGTCTCCTGAGCTCTGCGCAGCCCCCGAGGGTGGGACCGCAGCAGCGAACAGACAGCACTGGGTTCCGTGGACAGTGTGGGGACCTCAGCCAGGAAACCGAGCAGGGCAAGCTCCTGGTTTCCTTTCAGTCTTTGGGGTCCCCTCCTTCCCAGCCCCTACACGCTGCTCCCTGACAGACCAGGGAAGCCTGCCTGCCCGGGACACCCCGGCCCGGGTCCCCACTCCTCATTTCTCTCCCAAGATGCTCCACGCGGGGCCCATTCTGGCCTCTGGCTCCTGCTGGCTCCTGTGCACGCGGCTCCACCCCCCACCTCCCCTCCCCTCAGGGCCCCCTGGCCCAGGCTCCCAGACCTGCCCTCCTCGTGCGTGCGGAGATGCGCATGCGCGTCATCCACGCCTCCTGTCGTGCACGTGAGTAAAGAGATGAAACGCAGACGAGTCTGCTGCTCATTAGCATCATCAGCGTCGCCCAATCTCCTCCAGGGCCCGGGTTGCTTTGGGGCCAGGCGGGAGAGGAGTGACACATGGCATTCCTCACGTGACCATGGAAGGGCCTGCCCTGGGTCCCCGGGGGTATTGCCGTGGGGTCGGGTGCCCCCCGCTGCCCACGCAAGGGCACAGGGACCACACGCCCCTCCTTGGGTGAGGCCTGGTGCTGGTCAGCCCTCGGTCTGCGTGAGCGCAGCGGTGGCCGCCATTCTCCCCCACAGGGCAGATCAAATCAGCGGAACAATCAAACGAACCAGGAAGCAAATGGGAACGATTTTAATTCAGCCACAAGTCAAATAGAAAGAAGGTAAAAGAGTGTTCTACACAAAGACGTGAGAAAGGGGCAGGTAGAAGGAGGCGGCGTACGAAAAGAGAGGAGAAAAGAAGGAAGGGAAGAAAAGGGAGAGGGAGAGAGCGGACTCGGCCCGAGGCCCAGACCTGGACGCGCCTCTCCGCGTCCTTCCCGACGCTGGGCTGCGGACGACGCAGCGTCCTGTGCTGCGCCCACGCTCCCCGTTAGCTTGTTCCTGGGCCGCGTTCCAGGTTCCCTCCCGCAGCAGGACGCGCGGCTGTCAGTCCACGCCACACTCACATTAAATAAATTCCACTGTACACTGTACAAGAACGCCAGGCTCTTCCCTCATCCCACCAGCCCCCGGACCCCACAAATGAAGCCCCTTCCGGGCCCCTCTGTGCATCAGGGGACCTCTGAAGGCTGAAGAGGAAGGAGGAGGAGTGGCTTGGTTCCCAAATCGGCTGGCCGTGTCCATGTGTAAAGCCATCTCGGCCACTGGGGGCACCATGTGACACCCCACGCCTGCCCTACGAGTGCCCAGCTGGGCCAGGCTGGGATAGGGAGGGATGGCCGGGCAGCAGCAGTGTCCCCTCCAAGCCATCTTTGTCACCCCACCCCATGTCCACAGCCCAGGGTCCGCTCTGTCCAGCTGCAGCCTGGGCAGCTCAGTCTGGGGTGGGGAGAGGGGGTCGTGCAGAGAGGCCAGGCCTTGCCCCCAAGGAGACCCGCAGGACCGGAGGCAAGGCAGGGAAGGTACACGACAGGTGGGGGTGGGAGTCGCAGGCAGCCCCCGTGCTCAGTCACTCTGCAGGTGGGTGGGCCAGGTTGGCCAGGACCTTGGCCTGGTCCACGGCGTCGAGCAGGTTCTTGGCGTCCACGGCCAGGGCGTGGGAGGCCGTGAGCATCTGCCGCTTGCACTCCTCGCTCAGGGAGGTCACCGCGTTCTGCTGCGCCAGCCGCATCTTGTTGATGAGCTCCGCCAGGTCTTTGTTGAGCAGCTTCTGGGTCCCCTCGATCTGTAGGAAGAGCATATGGGGGAGGCTGAGGGTCCACGAGTCTCTGCCTGGAGGATGGGGAAGCCGGGAGTGTGGGGGGGTGTCCACCTGCGTGTTGGCTGAGGCCATGGGACGTTCCCTGGGGGCAACTCAGCCCCCTAGGCCTGGGCTGAATCCAATGCTCTGTGCAGACTGGAGCTGGGTCTGCAAGGACTGAAATCACAGACAGCCCAGACCCAGCGGGACAGACCCTCCCTTCGTGGCAGCGTCCCCTCGCGCCGGAGAGAATGGCCAGAGGTAAAGGTGGCAGTCTGCCGTCAAGTCAAGAGATCAGGGACCGCTTTGTCTCCAGCGCTAGCTAGCACATTGCGCAGTGCAGGCATACCCGGGCGGTATCGTGGATTCGGTTCCAGACCACCTCAACAAAGCGAATACTGTAATAAAGTGAGTCACATGACCTTTTTGGCTTCCCAGTGCATATAGAGTTATGTTCACGGTGCACTGCAGTCGAGTAAGTGTGATCAGATGTGCTGTGCAGAAGCCCCCTGGGGACTCAGAGGGCAGAAGTGAGGCAGCCAGGTGGTCCTCATGCGCCTCTGGAGGGAAGCACACCTAGGGACAGGTGGAGGTGCAGCAGAAAGGGGACAGATTTCGGCCCCGGCTGGGACGAGGACTAGGACTCACCTCTGTCCGTGAAGACGATGGCAAGGAGGGCAGGAGGTCGTCCACGCTCCCGATGAGCTTCCGCAGGGTCAGCCCCACGTTCTGGGGAGAGAAGGGGGCAGGGTGACTGTCACCTCTTGCTTTGGGAGAAAGCCACGTTTCCCTTGGGGAGAGCGCTTCTGAGTGGTGCCTGCCCTGGGACTCGATTCCCCTGGGCCACCGTGCTCCAAGGGGGTCTGCCGGGCTGGCCAGCAAGGAAGCACAGCCCCTTCCCTTCCAGGCCTGGGGGAGCAGCCTCCGCCTCCCCTGCCCCAGCTCCCACCTTCACCACCACGACGTAGCCCTCGGGGGGCAGCTGACAGAGCTCGTTCTTGAGGTCCAGCACGGCCCGCACCAGCTCCATGACGTTGAGGTACACCTGGTCGTCGGTCCGGTCCAGGTTGGCCGTGGGCTGGATGGACTGAGGGGGACAAGCACGGCCGGGGGGGCAGGGTGAGTCGGGGGACACTACCACTCTTCACGGGCAGGTGCGACTGGTACCAACGCAGCCACCAACCCGACTGGAAAGGACTCGTCTCTGGAACAGTAGTGCCCTGTCCTGGGGGTGCCTCCCTCCCTTCCACGTCCAGGGCAGTGGGTTTCCAGCCGGGGAGCCTTAGCAAAATACTAGTGGCGGCCTCACGCCAGACCAGCTGAACCATCACCTGGGCACGGGGGGCAGGTGGTCTCAAAGCTCCTCAGGTGATTATAATGGACAGGCCAGGGCGAGAACCACTGTCCCACCCCAGGGCTGCTGTAAGGACAGCAGGGTGCTGGGAGCCAAGGGCAGAGGCTCAGGAAGGAAGGCCTACCCACCCCCCCAACCAGGGCTGGACTGGTGAGCTGTCCTCCAGGTCAGGGAGGGGCCCCAGGGGACAGGAGACTGGTTCTTTCCCTTGGGTGTTCGTGAATTAGCTGTGTGGCCTTAGGCAAGTTGCCTCCCCTCTCTGGGCCTCATCTATATAATGAGGATCCTGGACTAGATTCTAACCGAGCAACTGTGACATTTTTCTCAATCCGTGGTCTGCAGCCTCGTGGAACTCTGAATCGAGTCTTATCAGCTTCATCAGAGCCAGAACATACCTGCGCACCCAGCCGCGGCGGCTTCTGCGGGGGCCCCGTGAACTCCACTGCAATGGAAAGCATGGCGAGTGGGCGGCGGTTCTGAGCACCCCAACCCATCCCTTTGTGCCTGCTGAACCCCTCTGCTCTACCACCAGGAGAGCCCAAAGTCCAGGATGGCAGGGAAAATGACCTTCTGCTCTCCCTGGTTTTCCCGTAACCAGGGACAAGCACTGCTGTCCCTTTTATAGAAAGAAAAAACCAAAGCCACGGCCGAGCTGGAGAGACTGCAGTGGGCGTCCTGCCCCGGCTAGTGCTTGCTCCCTGGTGGACGCCAGGCCTGAGAACCAGCACGCCGCGGCCCTGCCGTCCCTGGGGGAGAAGCTTCGCGCGGGAGGCGGCAGGGGTCTGTGGCGCCTGGGGTAGACTTGTGAGGATTCTCTAAAGGTTTGCGTTGACCGTTTGGGCCGAGGAAGTGGGACAGCAGCAGAGCCGGGCTCTTCCTCCCACTTTGATGAGCAAAGACACACACACGCCTGTGGAGCGGAGCCGCTGGAGGAGTGAGCACGGAGTGAGATTCAGAACTCCCGGTTCTACTCTCCCCTCCAGCTCTGCCACCTGGGGCCGCTCACATACACTCCCTGGGCCTTAATTTTCATTTGTAAAATAAGAGATTTAGCTCAGAAGGGACCCTGGAGCCAGAATGTATGGGTTCAAATCTGAGATTTGCTAGTTATTTGCTGTGTGACTTTGGGCAAGTTACTCAACCATCCTGTGCCTCTTTGTGCAGGGCCTGTGCCTGACTTGTATTAAGTTCTCTGTGACTGTTGTCATCACCATCAACAGCCCCACCCCTCTAGGACCCAGGCAGCAGCCAGGCTCACTGCTGGCTCTTCCCTCCCTGCCTTCTGCAGAGGCTTTGGAGACCCCTTGTCTTGGCTTCCCCTCCCGCTTTCTCCCTTCCACCCCTGGGGCCTGGAGAAGATGAGTGTGAGCGGGGAGAGGCGGGTGGAGCTACTTCATTTTCCTCCCCACGGAGCCTCCCACAGAGTGAGCAGGAAATACAAGGGAGGAGAGAAGCCCCCGCTCCTTGGGACAAATGCAGGGGGAGAGGACCTGAGAACTGAAAGAGGAAGAGAAAGGTGCCAGGCAGGGCGCGAGGGACGTGGGTGGCAGAGCAGCATGGTGGCTCTCAGCCCCAAAGCCGGCCCTCCCCGCACACTCCGAGTTAAAGCAAGACAGGTGCTTCCTAGAGTCACACAGACACTGCCCCCGGCACTGGGCAATGAGCAAGGACAGTGGCCCCGTCCAAGAAGCCAAGCGGAAACCCCCCAAAAGGAAGGGCAGGAGCACTTACTGTAGCCGACCTCCTTCTCCGGGGTCTGGAGGGAAGGGAGGAGAGAGAACCTGTCACTCACACTGCTCTGCGACAACCCACTCCCCGCTTCATTTGTCCCCAGCCCCTCCACCGTGTTTAGAGATTAGGGCCATTGATGGCGGTGTCTGAGAGCTCCTGACCAGAAGGACCTTTCTGGGAGGCAGAGGGGCCCTGTGATAGGCCACAGCGGTGCTAAGGGTGCAGGTCACAGGACAGCTTGGAAAAGAGCTGCGTGGAGGCTGGCACGCAGGGAAAAGATGTCTCCCAGGATGGGGGGCAGCCGAGGAGGAGCTGGGTAGGCCCGGGGCGGGAGGCGGGGGTCCCGTGGTGTGGGGGTCTTCTCTCCTGCGGACTTACCAATGGGGACTTGTCGTTCATGTAAACCATGGGGTCCTGCAGAGAAGGAGACCAAAGCAAAGGACTTAGGGTTCCAGAATCCAAAGTACCAGGAATGCGTTTGCTCCACCCAGCCGGGGGGTGTGGAAGAGGACGCGGAGGGAGGCAGGGCACGGAAACCCCACCCCGGGCCCAGCGCTCGCTCACCAGGGACTTCTCCTCCTCCCGCAGCCACTGGTAATCCAGAACCATCTGCTTCTGCTGCTTGTCCAGGATCTGCCGCATCTTGATCTTCTCGGCCTCCCACAGCTGCTGGGCCTCCTCTCGGCTGCTGGGCCGGATGAAGTCCTCCTCCTGGAGCACGGCGGGGACAAACGAGAGGACACAGTGAGCCCCGCACTCGGACTCCGAGGAGGGACAGTCCTCTGAAGAGCCTCTTGGGAGCCGCAAGCCTCGGCCTTGCCAGCTGCTTTTTTCTTGCAAGTTTGCGCCTAAACCCCCGGCCGTATAGGCAGACAGTTGTCATCCGGCGCCAGCCTCGAGCGCATGCCCGTGTTGCCATGTGATGCCAAACCCGAGGACGCGCTGTTTAACATGCACTGCACTCGGACGATTACTGACCTGTCACTGACATTTTATCTTGTAGTGACTGCCCTAACATTACTTTGTCAGTTGGCATTTGTGACAGTTGCTGTCATTTAATAGATTTAGAAATGCAAAGCCAGCCTTCTGGAAACCCTTTGGTGCTTATCTCCACCTAAGCAACCAAGGCGGCAGGTCTGGAAGCTTCCAGAGGCCGTGGTGCTGTCTCTAGCCCCGCAATGTGCAGCCCCACGCGCGTCCGTGGCTGAGCAGAGCCTCGGAGAAGGAGCAGCAGCATGCACCCCTCGAGCGTGACTTCCTAGGAAGACGTACTCTTTATTAAGATAACATTAATAGCTTGGGTTATTTAAATAAAGGTTAGAAGAAATGCAAGAGCTAAGAGATAAAATAAGAGCAAGATGTAAAGAAATATAGCTCCATAGGTATAAGATAAATCCTTCCTCTCCCTAGCCTTATTAATTTAACCCTTGTTTTAACTCACCTGTGAGGCTTTGGACCCATTCACAGTTTCAGCTATTAGTTCGGAAACAGAAGGTATTGCATGCCTGCCTATGTTCCTTCAATTTTTCCTAGGGTTCACTTGCATAATTATCAGCTCAGTCCCTCCAAACTATTTCCCTTTTTTTCTGCTGCCATGATCACTGTGGCCTCCTGGACTGGTGGAGGAAGCGTGTTATTGGCCTCCTCTTGATGGCACAAAGCCCAGGGGTTGCCTTCACCAGAGGCAGGATTCTTCTATAACACGCAAAATGCTAAAATGCTAAAAATGCTAAAAATGACCAAGGGACCAAGCTGGCAGGTCCCTTAGTTCCTTTCCTTCGAAGTGGCCATTTACATACAAGTCACTTGCAGAAAATGCTAAAAATGATCTCTATCCGGCCGGCGCGGTGGCTCACGCCTGTAATCCTAGCTCTCTGGGAGGCCGAGGCGGG